TGTAAAATATATTTATAAAACATTTTATAGTAGTAGGAATATTTTAATGAAATTAATTGTTGAAGAGGATTAGCACCAGTAGAATGCAAGGCCTTTACAAAAGCTCTCATCCCAATAGTCAATACTGCAATAATTTCAGAAAGTCTCAAGTAATATATGCCACTTCTACAGAGTAAATGAAACAGTTAAAAACTGACAAGAACACAAGTGAAAATGGCTGGTACCCTAACTGTCCCAAGTGCAAGCATACTGCACTATGCAATAAAGGAACTGACAACTAGCCAAAAAAAGAGCTTACCATTTAGACTCAGAAAACTGACATTCTGTAAGAGATTTTCCCCCAATCTCTCTTGGAGGCAACACCTGATGTGTCCAATTTCTGCATTTTAGATATCTATCGTATCAGCCTGGTAACACTGTAATTACATTTTTACAATCCCATAACAATGGAAAATTTAAACAAAAACACACTCCCAGTGTACCCACTATTAAAATTATAATCAACTCAAAAAATCTGTTACACTATTTTAAAAACTGTGACATGAATAAATTTTATGTCCTAGCCATGATGAATTTACTGCCTTCCACAAAAGTGGAAGTTATGCAACAGTTCAAATTGTAATCTGTGGGGTAAAGCTGGGTCTCTGAAGACAACTGCATCATCCTGATGCATTTTATAGGATACCTTCTTAATGTCAGATTAGTTGGAAAGAAAGTGTTTTATCATCTGGTATCATCATTTCACTAATTTAATACAAAATGTGCAAGTTGGAAGTGCCCTCCACAGACATTAGCTAAGATGCAGTGAGGCAGAGATTCCTGAACATTTACAATACAAGTGACAAAATATTAACATGGAAGCTCAACTGCATGCATGAAGGTAGAAAGCAGGAAGAGATTCATTTCAAAAGAACAGAAGGGCTGATACTCCCTCTACTTGTGAAATTCTCTTTAAGGTTTTACATGCTGGAGTGGGATGGAAGAACAGTAATTTCTGGCATCCCTTTTTCTGGATTATATTAGCTACAATAAGCACCCTTAAAGTCCAGGGTTCACTTCAAAGCAATTGCTAAAATGCACTCCAACATCCACTCTGGCATATATGCAGAGAGTTTCCAATTGGGTTAAATTACTGTGTAGTCTATTTTGACTCAATAAACAAAGCTTACAGAAGTAAAAAGAAAAGTTTGACAAATTACTCCAAGTCTCTACCTAGAATGGTCCTCGAAGAATAAGGATAATACTCTGCACTTCCTAAAACTATACATTTTCAAAGCTCTTTCTGTTAATAAGGACTTGAATCTATTTTTCTTTCTCCCCCCATTTTTAAAATTCACTTTAAATTTTAATATCTACAACAAGGGTAATAAATAGGCAACTGTGGGTCAAATGTGGACCACCAGATTTTCAAAGGACCCCGAAATTTTTTTATTTAGTATTATGTTTTAAAATTATTTTCTCTGGAGTCTGAACCTTGACTATACCATGACCAAGAAATTTGGATTTTGAAAAAAAAAAAAAAACTGACTGCCCCAATCTACAAAATGCTAGACTCACACACCAGGGAGCCAGCCTTAATGAAGTCCTGATAACAAAGACTACTTTTTATCCAGCATAAAACCACGTTTTAGAGGGTCTGAAAACACTATCAGCTCCTCAGACTACTACTGACCACTTGGAGAAAACACTACTCTCCCTCATCCCAGGATTAGGTATAGGAACACGACCATGCTTAGATTAGGAAGCTGTTACACTTTCAACTGTTCGGAGATTTTAAATTTATGCTTCTCTTTCATGCAGAAGATCATAAAGTGGCCTGAAGATCACAAAACAGGATCTTAAAAAAGCTGAATATTGTTTGTTTCATCAAACTAAGTATTTTTAGGGGAGTTTTTTTTGTTATCACCATGAGTCTACTTTGGTCTACAACATTTACTAGTTAGTCATTCTTTTGTTTGGTTAAAGTGCCAAAAACTCTCCTCCCTGTAAAGTTGTTTTGGTTGCTTCTTTGACCGTCAATGTAACTGCACGCAATAAAAACAGAAAACAGAACTCATTCCTAGCAAGTGAGCTGGCTCCTAGATATAGCTCTTTTTAAACAGCCTCTGGACTCAAAGGGTTAAAACAGAAGAGCAAGGCAGATTCCTCTCACCTCACCATGGTAACATTGCATTTGTAAGCTTGGAACAGCTCAGCCTAGAGTTCTGTCCTAAAGGAGTTAAATGATTTATTTACTGAGATTGCCTCTTAGCTTTATAGTATGAAAATCCTAAGAATATTAATAATTCTCTCTCTCCCATTCCTTGTAGAAACTTGAAATAAATTCTCAGATGTTTGACGGAGGCAACATTTCAAAGGAATTTATTTACTGTGAGACAAGACTCCTGAAGATTACTCTGGTTCTAATGGAAAGAGTTACCTTTAAACGGAAGAGAGGGATTAACTCAAAGTGGCCCTGGCTGCACACTTACCTTATTGTTCGGACTTCTTGATTGGATGGGGGGAATCCACCTAAAGGAAACATGCACAATGCCTCACATGGCTGATTGAGGAGAGCAGCTCAGGAAGTGGGCAGAAAATGAAAACGTGCCTGGCCCTGCGAGTGGAGAGTGCAGCAGAAGCCTGTTGCACATTGCAAAGAGAGCTATGGAGGCTCCTCTTTAGTAATAAGCCTGCGAGAGGTCACATTTCCTTCCTGCTTTCAGTCCTGACTGACACTTCAACCTCCGCCCCCTTCCACATTTAAAGGGCCAGGACTATTTTCCTCCATTGCAAAGTAGGTCTCATCCAGCAGCAGAAAAAAAGTTTTGGTGATCCTGCCTGAGCTGTTGCAGAGAGCAAGGCCGGAGCATGACTTGTGTGTGCACTTGGAACTGTTTTCATACAGAGGGAGCCGGTTTGACAGCCAATTTTCAACCAAAGCTGTTGGTTCTGTCTGGAAACCAGTCTGCAACCTTGTGTTAAAGCTGTTAAGTGTTGAAATAATCTTTCCAAATGATGGTTTAGTGAGTCCGATATCTAGGAACAGAATACAGTCCAAAGCTATCTTTCAGAGTCAAACTTTAAGGCAGTTCTACTGATGGATTGTAACTATTTCAATAGAAGAACACAAATAGGAGCAGAAGCTTTACATCCACATGCTAGGCAGCCTCAATAATCCACAGTCCAGTTAAAATATTAATGAGTTAAAATACTATTGCCATACTGCGGAAATCTTAAAACAAACCTTTATTAAAATAAAATTATATACCATGAACTTTTTGACATTTCATTTCTGATTACATAATCATTTCTGATAATCAGTGCTGATTATTGTAGGAAGATGTTTAATACACGGACCTTGGCTTACTGGTTTCTAAAGTACCACACACCCTTAAGGTGCTGTACGAACAGCAACCACCACTAAATCAACTTGGAATATAAACTGCTTTGTCTTTTTAGTTAGTTTAGTAAATTAATTCATATTTCAGTGGTTTAAAACATAACAGTTTCTTCCACAGTGAAGATACAAAATAATGACTCTGACACTACTAAAAGAATCAGAGTAGTGAGCTAACAGGAACTAGCCAGCTTATTGGTCAAGTTGGTTCATGAGTACTTCACATTCTCCAAGTATTAGTAGCAGCACGTTCTGTTATACTATGTGATCTGTAGATCACAGAACGCTGCTGTTCCACCTTAGAGAGGTAGCGGAAATATACTCAGATGAACATAAATATGTGGACATCAGCTTGCTCTACCTCAAATGCAGTCAGCACCATCTACAATGCACTGCGATAGCTGCACAAGATCAGCAACGAGGTGAAGAGCAGCTGGCTGAAGCTAAACTTGGGCAAAATGGAGCAGATACTGGTGGAGAAAGGAAGCACTCCAAAGAACTAGCTGCTACTACCAACATATCGCTCTCCTTGATGGCATCTAGCCTGATTAAGATGGTCCACAGCCGCTGGATCCTCAATGCTTCAAATGAGAACATTTCTTAGACTACATCATGTACTTGTTGACAAATTTGACCGTCTTGTAGTTTGCATATTTCTATAGTATCTACAGTTGTTAGACCTCAATAAAATGTGCTCACTCCAAGTTAGCTATAGTTCTCAAGTGTAAAAACATGTGTCTGGAGAGAGTTAGGAGTTTTTAGTAATTTTGGCTAAATATTCTGTAGCAAGGTTAAGGGTGTTAAACATCTGAAACCAGAGTTCTTTTATCCACAAGCCAAGCACCCTTATAAATCAAGCAGATGCAAAGCAGATTCCCTGTCACATCTATCCATTTGGTCTCCACCTTAACTACAGAAACTAAGATTATACAGGCTACTAGAAGCCTTTGATTGCTCTGTCACCTGAAAAAGGAAAGAAGTCAGTTTTTTCTTGTGATGGTTACAGAGTATTGGTTTTAAAGGTGAAACACTGATGCTGTATTTTATTAAATACAAACATTCTGATAAAGATGGCTGAGAAATTCCACACTAGAAGGCCAAGGCTCAAACAAAAATGCAGCATGGTCAAGTTCTGGCAGTGCTTCCCTGCACTTTGCAGTGTTGATGAAAGGTGTTCTCTCTTTTGGCTAGTGGCACAGGGAAAATGAGAAGTTCCTAAATGAGAGATGATACATTTCCAGTAGCACAATTTTAAAATCAAGTAATCTTGCTAAAAACTAGATAGCACTGCTAAATTAACAAAACTGCTGTGATTTCCTGATTTTAAGGTACACGTCACAGAAAGGTGCTCCCCTCTAAATTATACAGATTACAAATAAAGAAAAGCCCCCAGAAACAAGCCATTTAACTATCTTTTTTAAAACTTCAAGTAAAATTTTTATTCTATGTACGAATTGCACTGCTTTGTCTTTTTTTGCAGAAGTTCCTTGGATCTGGTCAAAATATTATTTGCTTGAAGTGTTGAAAAGAATTCTTGTTCTCCCTCCCTCAGGCAAAAAATCTGAACTAGATACTTCCTGCATAAATGGAAAATAAAATAAGGACACATTTATGGACTTACCCAGGGGCCAAGTGAGAGTGGAGTAGCAGTATCTCCAAAAGTCATTCCTTTTGGGTTCCGTGTAAATGCTTGCAAGCAGCAGCACTTAGAAGGAAATATTTCAGATATGTCTTTGCATCACTGAGTTCAGGATAATCAATCCAGCCTTACTTAGTCACTGGCTTTCCAGGGACTAACATGCAGCTTAGTTGTTGAGTTCAATTACTGCATCTGATTCATCTATTTCCATATTAAGACACTTCTGCAAATAATTGAAAGCAAAATGTGTACAGCTACCATATCAAAGCATTAGTGTATGTATACACACAAAATGTGGGTAAAATGCATTTAAATTAGCTTGTATTTAGGCAAGGTTATTTTACCTTTTTGTTCTGTGTAGTCCTTGCTATTCTGCAGAAGATATGAAAAAGCCATCAGCTAAAGCCTGCTTTTCACTGGGTGCTGTGAGTACTGCTAAACTAAAGGCAACGCAAGGTCATCTTTTTTGAAATCATGAGCTGCATCCAGAAATTCTCGGTACTGTGAAATTCAGATGGCAACAATCTGCTGTTGGAACAAACTTTCTTTTCAAAGCTCTCTCCTGCTAAGGCTTTATATGGAAAATTACGTTAGAGTTTTCCGGAACTATGGAAATTTCACTTGGTGCTCAGAACTGGAGCAGATTCTCAGAATTTGGCTTCTCAGATAAGTAGTAAAACACTATAGCACTTGCTTTTGTCTCCATCCTAATAGCAAAGTTCCACGTATCAAGCTCAACTTCATTTCACACATTAACCAAAAGCACACACTGGGGGCTCTTGCTTGCACAAGAAATGTATTTGAAGAGCAGGCAAACATAAGCTGGTCACAGTGCTGTGTGCAGGTCTAATACTATTTTCATTGACAATGCAAAGGATCCTGAACTATACACATTTAGTACAGCGCCACTAAAATGTTGCCACCTCAGAGATGGCAGGGAAACAAGCAGAGCTCTGCAGGGTACACAAGAGTGAAACAGGGACAAATTTTGGCCAAGAGCTATGAAACAAAACCTTGTTCTCACAAAAATGCCATAGGGTCTTGAACACCCATGAAAAAGAAGCAGCAAAACTTGTTTTCTAAGGCCTTGTCCCAGAGTTGCCCTCCACCGCATAGTTAAGTGAATGAAACTCAGTTAATCTATCACGGAAGGATGAAGGCCAGAGTCAATCCTACTGCGATTGAACATGAGGTCTCAAGGTTACTGCATAGGAAAAGCCGTGGGCAAGCTTTCTGCAGACCACAGATAGCTATTTCTGTACTTTATTAAAAACTAGAACAAAAATTAGGGTAGCCATCTGCTAAAAAATAGCTAATTTGGAAAATGTTAAACATACTATTTTAATAATGATGATGATGATGAAAATAATACTAAGTACGTCTATATATTTCAAAGTGCTTTACAATGGAGGACAAGGGTTAATATTCCCATTTTACAGATTAAAGAGGGAGGCAGAGAGAAGTCATGGAAATTGCCTAAGGCTGTAACAGATGGTGAATGTCAGATCCAAAAACAGAACACGGGGTCCTGACTCCCAGTTTGTAACTTGCCTGTGTCCCTCCACATGTGTAAGAAACAGAGAGAACAATACCCTCCCTTATCAAAATTTTATCATGACAAGTCAAAAAATTATCCTTTGATACACAAGCTGCACTGTATTGAAAACCACCTGCTTTTACTGTGTGCAGCTGACGGAATTAACCTTTCTGAGCAATGAAGATGTTGGGACAAGTCAAACTGGATGTGAGGCTCTGTTTCACATTTCGTAATTTAATCAGGGATTTTATTTCCTTTGGTGACTCAGCTCACAAATAAGGACCTTTGTTTGCAGGCAATCATGGCATTCAAACTAAAAAAAACAGAAGGGGGAGCTTCAGTTGAGCCACTAATCAGGACTTGTTGGCACAGACTGCAGAGATCTGGTGGTGCAATATGTTCACACTGTAAGGGAGGTTAATATTTTACAAGTGTTGAACTTTGGGACTGAACTCAAACAGCTGAAGATTTTTTCAGTGCTAAAATTAAATCCTTCTTTACAATGAAATCCTTTAAAAGCTTTGTGGTTCAGACATCCCCACTCATTGTAGCTATTCTCTCTCCCCCTACCTTTTTTAAGTTTGTGGTTGAACTATCTTGATGCCCTTCCTTGCTAAGAGGTATCCATTTTAATGGCATGAACATTGCTCTTTCACAAAATTCATAGCTCATGGCAGAGCAGGTTAATACAACTGAACAGCCAGCAACTAGTGTTTCTCCATGATTCTCAGTCTAAGAGAAAGGCAAGTTGTTGGTGGGAGTAAACACTTCAAAACTAATTAAGCCCTGCTGTGGTTTAATACCATTTTAAAGATGTTTGGCATTAACAAAAAATACTTTCCCCAGCTCTTATTCTCCATGTGGTTCAATTTGACCTCATTTTTGGACAGTTTCCAGTAACCCAGTGAATTTTCCACTGTCAAGAAGTTATCACTGCTATGCACTCCCATTAGTTGCCAATGTTTTTAGACTAATTATTCCAAATATCCTTTGCACCTAATTTACTGGTTTTTGTATTTGGCTTTTCAAAGAGCAGCCACTTCAAGTAAATTTGAAGATATGAAGCATTAACACAATAACTGACATGGTTCTATAAGGGGAAAAAAATACTAGATGCTACTCTGACTCAAGTTTATGACACAATGCCCAAATAAGGCCCACGGAAGGGAAAACATGGACTTTAACCCAGCAAATATTGACGGGTTGTAAGTACTCAAACAAGCATTAAAAACATTTATGAAAAAAGATTTTAGGTATCTGTTCTTTCTGGGACACTTAAGGTCATTCTGCAGAATGGGTTCATACCTTGTAAAGCAGTAGCAAATAAGACCAGGAAGTACAAAATCAGCAGAGTACACTCCCAATCCAGTAACTAGAGGAGTTGCAGAATTTCATTTTTATACTGATTAAGAGAATACAGGTTCAAAGGTATTACATATTGCCTTGCTTGCACAGCAACAATGCTGGTGAGCAAAACAAACTCAATTTACAGAGTCAGCGCTTAAACTGAGGCAGCAATGCTAAAACTATAAAGCCCTGCTGCTATACGGTATAGTCCAAGTCTCAAAGAGAGGCACTCCCTTTCCCTCCCCCACAAGAGACCTTAGGTCTTAATTTTGTAATAAACCTACCTTGTTGCTGGAACACGCACTCACACCTTCCACCCCTCAACAGTAACCTGTCACTGTTTCAGCTTCTTCAATTATGAAATCAGGAAACAATTCTGCACAAAAAAGAAACTGTGTTGAAGCAGCGGTATATTTAAGCTACACACCATTGGTTTTATTTTAAGGGAAGCAGTTTTATACACAAAACTGTGGGTTTTATCATTATCAGCTTAAATCTGGGAATTGGTCACCTTCTGAGAAAGGAATTTGGAAAGTCAATCCATTTACCTTCACCCAGCCACTATTTTTTCTCCCTTCTAATTAGGGTAACCAGACAGCAAATTTGAAAAATCAGGACGGGGGTAGAGGGTAAGAGGTGCCTATAGAGGAAAATGCCCCAAATATCAGGACTGTCCCTGTAAAATAGGGACATCTGGTCACCCTACTTCTAATCCCAAATCCCAAGCTAACAACGGTGTCAGTGATCAAGTAGTCACTTCTACTATCCCCAACAAGAGAGTGCAAGCAAAGACAGCTTGAATTCTGGCACCTATTGTAGATACACCCTCCCTTTCTAGGTTTCAGAGTAGCAGCCATGTTAGTCTGCATCTGCAAAAAGAACAGGAGTACTTGAGAGACTTAGAGACTAACAAATTTATTTGAGCATAAGCTTTCATGGGCTACAGCCCACTTCATTGGATGCATACAATGGAACATATAGTAAGAAGATATATATACAAATACATAGGCAGAACATGAAAAGGTGGAGTAAGAGGCTAATTAATTAAGATGAGCTATTATCAGCAGGAGAAAAAAAACTTTTGTAGTTTATCTATTTCCCCATGTTAAGTATCCTCACACCTTCTTGTCAACTGTCTAAATGGGCCATCTTGATGATCACTACAAAAGTTTTTTCTTCTCCTACTGATAATAGCTCATCTTAATTAATTAGCCTCTTACTCCACCTTTTCATGTTGTGTGTGTGTGTGTGTATCTATATATATATCTATATATCTCTATATCTTCTTACTACATGTTCCTCCCTTTCTAGACCAATGTTCATATTTTGTCTTCAAACAGAATTGTAACTTGGTCTGCATTAACAGAGTGCTCATAAACTGTGCTAGAATCTTGTTTGAGCTGAGGAAGAAGTCTGCTGCATGGTTCTGGCCAGCACAGTGAAGTATCGGATTTTTAAAATCCTTGTTCACACTGAAGCACCAAACTGAGCTGGCTACAACAATGTGTGAAAATGCTTGTAACTAGCATGGTCTGTGTCTCAGCAGGAACAGTCCCCACTGCACTCCCAGCTGCTACCCTATGGCCCAAGGAGTGGCCGTCCAACATCACTCACTGCTTCAGGCATAAGAAATTGTGGCAATTATAGCCAGACGCGCCACTTTCAGACTGTTGCTATTTTCACCGCAAAATAAAATTAACATTGGGTTTAAACCAAAGCAGGTGGACAGAGTATTATGTACAAATTTAATAGATATTTCAAATAGAATGTTTATAAAGAGTCTTAAAGATAAAACACACTGTATGCAGTAAGCATTAACAAATGGGGAAAAGAGCCAGCCTGACTCTGCACTTCTCAAATCTCTCCAGGTGTGCTGTAAAGGGGACGTGTATCTCCTGGGAAAGCAAAAACACAGGATGCACCACACTTGATCACTACCACAGCCATATTCATCCGTGGAGTGGCACAAACGATTACTGTACCTGTAACTTTAGAATGCCTTGGAGATTTAGTCTCTTTACATTTAAGTCTTATTTCCAATATAAAGACAAATTACGAGATACAAAGGAACAACTTTAAGGCTGTAAAGGGAGAAAAAAATGCAGGGGCACAAGCATTATTTTTGGGACAAAATTTTAGATCAGCTATTTCACAATGAAATAAGGTCACTTGACTAGAAGACGAAACATCTGTGCCAGTGACATCTCTGACATAGATACATCCATCCCTTCCCACCCAATTAAGGCCCCATTCTGCCCTCAGTTGAATGGGTGTAACTACAGTTAGAACTGAGTCCTAAGTCTAAATTGAAAACCCGCTAAAAACTTTCTTTACCTAAGGCTTTTGCTGGCATCAATGAAACAAGACAGATTAAGCTGCGACGGCCCATGTTGAACATGTCGCCTGGGGACCAAGTCTGTTAAGGCGTTACATAGCAATGGAGATTTTTCAATAATGAGCTCTGCATTTTAATGAATTTATTTAGAGTAAAAACTAATAGGTTCAAAGCAGCAAGAAAAACTTGAGAGTCATCTGTCCAGGAAATATTAATAACTAATACTGCATTTTATAGCACCTTCCACACAAGACACTTACAATGTTTTACAACCTAATAAATTAAACCTCAACTTCACTGTAAGGATGTTATTCCAATTCTAACTATGGATAAACTGAAGCACAGAGGTGAAATGGCTTGCCCAAGGGCCCATAGCAAATCAGTGGTTGAGCTGAGTATGAAACCTAAACTCCTGACATCCAGTTCTGTGCATTACCTGCCAGATAAGGCTTTCTTTCTGCTCCGGTCTACGTTTAGCTATGCACATTAAAGCAACTCCTGGTGTGTATAACTTCCACTACAAGAGGAAATGCAGATCTGAACTATTCATTTGCAGACTGATCTGAAATGGATGTCCACGGGCACCACCTGTTCAGAAAAAACAACTCAGCTGATAGCTAGCCATGAAGTCACATTTTTGATTACTTCTTAAAACCAGACCAGCAGAGAATCACAGATCTGAGAGAAAAATAAAAAAGCAACTAGAGACTGAGAATGTCACCAAGTCCCTGGCAGGCTGAAGGAAGGCTCCTCGATACCATTTGCCAGCTGCACAAACCAAACATGTGCTGTGTGACTGTATTACTAAAAATAACACTGTTTAGCAGCCCATCTTATTTAAGTTCACAAGTAGCTGGTGGTTTCAGGTTTAGCACCACTGCTATCATGTAGTCATCCAATGCGGATGAACTTTCCAGTATTGTTAATCAGCACAGCAAGCAGCCCAGTTTAGGCTCAAAAGTGGTCAAGGCTACTAAAGTTACAGAAAGCTATTTCCTGATTCTTTTGTTTATTCATCCTTAAGTTCTGTTCTTAGATGTGGCTAGGAGGTACCTGGAGACAGCTGAATACAGACAATGTTCACATCTTTATTCTTACAATTTCTGTGAGGGCTGGGAAGGGATTCCGTACAGTTGCTATGAAAGTTTGACCTTTCATTGGCAACAACAGCTGTCATTGTCATAGCTCTAGATTACTGATTTAAGTAGATCTATTTACTGAAATGCTGGCCCTTAGCTGCTACAGTGCAAAGTTAGGATAGACTTTTCTTTTTGCGAATACAGACTAACACGGCTGCTACTCTGAAACTTTTCTATCAGACTTTCCCAAATTCTGAGGTGCGCCCCTGGAAGAGTACAGACAGTATATAAATTAGGATGGGTAGGTTTTTAACACCGTATTATAGTGTGGGAGGGCAACCAGTTTCATTTTCCATGCCTGCATGACATAACTTCTTAATTTGACCCTGTATTTTGTACTTGCTACTTAACCGTGCTCATATAGCCAGGTTTGCTATTCTGTATTGTTCTCTAAATTATTAATTGTGTGTTTTACAGCAACCTGTACCTCCAATCAGGCATACCATGGGAGCCTGATATCTCCCCTTCTGGATCATTACCAGTGTTATCACCAAGGAAACTATGGGACTGACTGCCAAAGGCACTACCTGAAGCTGTATTAGATTTCTACATTTCCATGACTACAGATTGACAAGTTAACTCTCCAGACAAAAAACCACTACTTTCCCCAGGAGCATTTATTTCACAGTATATGCCAATTCAAAACACATTTCATTATTAACCTATGCTGTTAGTCGTCAGTGGACCTGGAGCACGTAATTCTCTTAACGTTAAAGGAAGCTACAAGCCAAGAGATGCAGTTCTTTACTTTACACGTTCACGTCAGCATAACATTCCTGTAGAAGACCTATCTATTTAAATATGAATATATCAAGGCTTAATGGGTGAATCATATATTAAGGTTTCATTACATAATTCCGTATAAAGGGTTGCAATTTTCAGAAAAATGGAACATAAGAGTAAATGTAAATGGCTCTTCAAAGATGACCATTTGCACAAGTAAATCAGATCAAACATTCCTACAAACAGACTCATTTCAACAAGGTCCAATAGCGGAAGTGTCTCGTTTTCTCTGGGTATGCAACTAATATATCAAATTCACAAACCACCCCCACCCTGACTTAAAAAAAAAAAAAGTCAACTATTCACCACCAGTTCCACTTACTTTACTGAATGCACAATCTCAAAGATTTCCTTTGGGTCTATGCTATTATCCATGTTTTGTCAATCCTCCGAGAAACCCATAATCATGAGATTTTTAAACACACAATTTCATTATTTTTATTAAAAGAAAAGGAGTACTTGTGGCACCTTAGAGACTAACCAATTTATTTGAGCATAAGCTTTCGTGAGCTACAGCTCACTTCACCGGATGCATTTTTATTGTGATCTGTTTTGACTCGATGGAAGACAGGGAAATTTGTCTTATGTTCCATGAAAAATAAGCTCTGTGAGAGTGTGCTGCCTTTCATAATCTTATGAGAGGAAAAATTCACTCATGTTAGATCAGTTTTCTCCTTTTACTAGAAAAACCCTTTTCTATTTTTATAGCTTATTCCCCAGCATACTTATCTCATAGGTATCTTTTTGTACGGTTATTTTATGTATTCCATACAAATTTCTCTTTCAACTAAAAAGCTCCACTTAATTTAATGCTTATTATTTAATACTGCTTTTTATCTTCAGAGTAGTTTATCATAAGCATTAATCCAACACACCCATGAAGTAAGCAAGCTTTATTATTCCCCATTTTACAGACAGGGAAAGTGAAGCAGAGAGGTAATGCACTCAAGACTGCAGTACTGAAGCTGAGATTATAGATCAGAAGTTTTACGTTCCAGCCCATTTTTAAGAACATTTTCCTATGCCAAGACACGGGTCAAAACAAGAACATTTCTGAAGTTTACATGCAGTGCGTTTTTCTAGAACTGTTCCTCCTCTTTTTTTCCTTGTGGCCTCTAT